AAAATGGTTCGGCTGAGAAACAGGTCTGAGAAACTCTGCATACTGATCCCTCTCTCGGAGAGTCACCACACACATTTCCACAGTGAAGTCTCTGAGGAATTCTGCTGTCAGGAATACTTGTTTTACAAGCATTTCCCAGATTTATTTGGCCATAGAACCCTTCTATTTTCCTGTGTAAACATCCACGGACATCCTAAGAATTAGCTATGCAGAATACTTTTAGGAACATGCACTTCTTTTTCACAAATAAAATTTTGGTTGTCACGTTACCATCTGTTACTAGTTTTCACAGATTTTCAAAGCCAGGAGCTACTCTCAGCTCCTGCGCAGCCCTTCACGCCCCTTGCCCTGCAAGCGTCTTTCTTCAGCATCAGGGGTTCCTGGGCTCTTTCTCAGGTGCCCCCTGACTGGGCGTGCTTCCCTGTGCGCCCCCCAGGCCTTTGCAAACAACGCTCACCTCTTCTCTCCAGGCTCCAGACCCCCGCCAGCCTCTCCCTGGCCGTCCCACTGGGATCGCCTGCACCAGACACCTCAAGTTCAACACATCTCAGCTGAACGCATAGCCTTTCTCCTCCACACACCACCTCTCCTCCTGTGTTCTCCATCTCAGGGGTCGGCATCACCGTCGACTGGGCTGCCCGAGGCGGAGACGTGGTGTCCTCCACCTTCACCCATCAGCGCCCACGCCCTCCTGACTTGGCCTCCTAAAGTTCTCTTCTGTCTGTCCTCCCTTCTCCACCCCCATGGCCATGGTCCCAGGACAGCCCACCACTGTCTCCCCTCTGATGGCACCCACACCCTCCTAAGCCACAGCTCCCACCACCCGTTCTGCACACAGGAGCCCAGGGACCTTCTTAGACATGCAGATCAGATCATGTCATCCTCCTGCCAGAAACTGCCCTCCTGAGAGAACCAGACCCCTCGGCGGGACACGCAGGGCCCTCGCGATCGGCTCCTTCCCGCTTCTTCAGCACCAACTTCTGCTGTTTCCATCCTCGCATTCTTCCCTCCAGTCAGATTCAGCTGCTCTCTGTTTCTCCAACCCGCCCTGCCCTCTCTCCCCTTCCAGTCTTTGAACCCAAAACATCCCTATGCTGGTACTTCCCTCTTTCACTCCCTTCCTGTGGTTGAAAAGTCACTTCTCCAGTCGCCTGCCCTGCCTTTCCCCACGGAGCCCTGAGCTTGTTGTTTGTCCCTCTCGTTCTGGAGGCAGCGCTGCGGTCAGGGCCCATGCCAGTCACCCAGCACAGCACTTGGCACACAGAAGCCCTTTGAAAAGTGTTTGTTAGATGACTAGGTTTGTCATTAGGCAGACGGATGTGATGAAATATATGAACAGACTTCCTGATATTAAACAGTTGCCGCATTCCTAGAATAAACCTTATTTTATGGTGGTGGGAGTCTCTCATATGTATTATTGAATTAAACTCTTAAGGCCTCAGGATTTTTACACCATTTTTAGAAGTGAGACAGGTCTGTACTTTGTCTTAGACATGCTACTTTTGGCAGCTTTGAATGTAGGAATCACATTGGCTATAAAAATAAATTGCGTGGATTTCAGAATATATATATTTATATATTCTGAAGAAGTTTATATGGTATTGTATTATCCTTGCTTAATAATTCCTTGCAAATGAATAAGAATGTGCTGGCAAAAATAGATTATCTGACTCCCTATTTAGAGGTTTCTTCAAGATAACTTTGAAGATGGTGAAGAACTTGAGTTCCTTCCATGGTTATGAGACTTACTATGGTGTTTTCTACATTTTTTGGAGTTAGCTTTGAAATATTCCCATTTCCCAGGAAATCCTTGATCTCCCAGGATCTCCAGGTTCCTGACCCAGAGATTCTCAAATTCTCACCTTCAGGTTTTGACTCTCTTCTGCAAATGTCGGACTGTGACCGCACAGTCCTTCTCCCTGCCTGCAGCAGTTAGGAAAAAAGAACAAGTAGAAACAGCTTTGGGTTAAAATAAATGAGGCTTTGTTCCATCGAGTAATCAATACTGGGAAGGAGACAGACACTCTTTAGGCCAAATGAGAGCCAAAGCTTTGCCAGCACTGGTAAGCAATTAACTGTGCACAATTTCCAAATTTTTCTTTTTAATCAATATGCGAGCAATTAGGGGAAATGCAAGCTGCCACCCAGTGCCCAGACCAATCAGTGGTACTTCTCCCCCTTCTCCCCCAAGACCCGAAGTTTCCCATTTCCCCTCACCAGCGGTAGAAAGAGAGACGAGGGGGATATAACTATGCCCATCCCTCAGGCTAAAGGCCTGAAAATTCAGACACAGGAGGGTCCTGGTGGAGGGGTCCCAAGCCCAGAATGGAGAGGCTGGAAGGACCTTGCCTCAGGAAGGGGCGGAAAGGTGAAGAGAGAGGGAACGTGTTGACAGCTACTCCAGTGGGGACAGAGGAAAGTCCTATGGGACATTCCAAGGACCCCTGCCTGTGAATGGAGGCTGGAACGGGATCCCTGGGCACGGCCCACCCCCAGCCTTCCCCCTGTCCACAGTGTCTGTGTGGTCTAGAGGCCAAATGGGATAAAGAGCTCCATGAGCCTCTTGCCGCTCTCCTAGTTGGTTCACCTACAGAGGAAGGCGTGCACATCCCCTCCTCCACTGATCACCAGTGGGTGTCCGAGTGGCAGGGTGGGGAGGAGGCCCAAGGGGAGATCTCCCAACCACTGCCTCGAATGCTTTCTCCCCTGCCAGGATTATATATATATACACCCTTTCTAATCTTTGGTTTGTGATTCCCCTCTGTGTTTCTAGATTAAATACGCCAGAGATTTGCTTTTCCCAAGGCTTTCTTGATTGATTCTGTTGTTTCTTTCTATTTTCTCATTTATTGATTTCTGCACTTTCTGAACTATTTCCTCAGTTTTGCTTTCCTTAGGTTTTTGGCTTGGGGTTGTTGTTGACATTTGTTCTAACTTACTGAGTTGAATGCAGGGTTAACTTGTTTTCATTCTCTCTTGTGTAATCATGGAAAGCACCTGTGAATTTGCTTCTGAATACACCTTTGGTCACACCCCATAGGTTTTGATCTGTAGTGCTCTTGTTTTCACTAGTTTTCTAAATGACATGCAATTGCAGCTCTAATATTCTCCTTCCTAGGAGATTTTTTTTTTAATTTTCAAAAGAATCGGATTTTTTCAGTTTATACATCCTTCTCCTTCTCCTGCTTTTGGGGCACTGAGTCAGAGAATATAGCCCAAATGGTTTTTGCTGTATAAAATTCACTGAAATTTTCTTTATGACCTAAAGTACTTTTGTAACTTTTAAGTGTTCTATGATTTCTCCAAAAGAAGGCATATCTTTCTGTAGGGCAAGAAAAAAATGATATAACTGTTAATTTAACTTTATTCATTATATTATTCAAAACTTTTATGCTTTTTAAAATGTAATCTGTTAAAGGTCTTGAAAAGGGTATGAAAGACTCCTGCAGTTAGGTTTCGTCAATTTCTTGCTTGTTCTGATGGTTTGCTTAGGCATATTTTATGTTCTCTGTGGGGTGCATAAAGGACCACGACTGGTGTCCTCGCTGTGGCCACTTCTGTCACTTGAAAGTGACATGCTTCCCAGGGGAAGGAGAGTGGGCTCAAGGTGCACTGTTCCTGGAATTCGTCCGGTCACACAAGCCCTTCATTGTCATTTTTGTACTGTGGGCTTTGTGAGTTGTGTGCAGTTTGATTTTACTTTTTGAGACTGAGACTCTCTGTCTTTGAGAAAAGGAGTTAACTCTTTACATAAATTACCATGGTGGGTGCACCTGATCTTTTTATGATTTGATTTTCTACACACTGAGTGAGGTCAGACCACGGACTCTGGAGTTTGGCTGCCAGGGTGGGAAGCCCGACTCCCCAGGAGCCAAATGACATTGGCCACTCACCTGGCATGCCACTGAACCATGTTAAGTCTCAGCGTCCTTATCTGTGAAGTGAGAATGGTCACAGCTCTGCGTCCCCGTCTATCCCTGGATTACATGGGTTCATATGTGTAAAGTGCTGTCAAGCTGCCTGGCACCGCCGGGACCCTTCTCTCCTCACCATCTCCCTTGGCGAGGCACCCCCTCATCTTCCCATCTCAGGTCACTGTCTCTGGGGGCTCTCTACCCTGCTGTATAGACCTGTGCACACTGCTAGGAAAGATGCTTCCACGTTTTACAGCAAGAGGGGGAAAGGAGGGCAAGAGAGCCAGTTAGGGCAGAGGCTAAGTGCATGAGAAGAGGAAGACATGGGTTGAAGATGTGGGCAAGAGTTGAAGTGAGGGGTGTATTAATTACATGTTTTTGATGCTTTGACATCTGGGGCCTGCTGACCCTGGAGGGACTGCCCTCCCAGGGTAGCTGACTCCTAGAGACAGTGCACAACTCACTAGGGGGCATGCTTTTCAAATGCAAACCACCCAATCCAGAGGCCACCCCCACCCACCTCCTTCATCGGGCTCTTGCACTCTGGGCACTATCCCCTGCCCTAATCATCCAAGGCCAGGTACCAGACAGCTAGGGGCAGCCCTGTGTCCCAGAGCTGCTGAAATTATTCAAACTGGCAGAATCTAAGCCTGCTTACCCTGCCTCACCCAGTCCTTCCTGCAGAAACCACAATAAGCTCTTGCTCACAGGTCCCCCTCCTTCCCTCTGCCTCCTGACGGACACTGGTGCTTCCCCATGTGGCCCTGCATGGTGTGATCTGTGAGTCATAATCCATCTTTTCCATGGCAGTCACATCCTGATCGTCAGCCTCACCACACCTGAATAACAATAAAACCTACATTTTAAAACAAGGGGTGAGGTGAAAGGGGAGCAGGAGTATGATGCTGGCTCACAGGGACAACAGGAACCACAGGGACCACAGGGCGGCTGGGGAAAGGCAGGGCGGTTTTAACAGACACAAACCCTTTCAAAGCAGGCTATGCCTCCCTGGAGAGCCCCATTCATCCCACAGTGGGTGTAGGCTCTGGTGTGTCTGCAGGGTAGTGGTCCACAGTGCTCACTCACCTTCCCGTAGCTCAGCAGGATTATCCGCACCAGGACGACATTGATGTGGGCCCCCAAGGATTCATCGTGATAGATTTCATTGACCTGAAAAACAACCAGGGAGGGGTCAGCAGGAATCTCAGGCCCAAGGACCAGCCTTGGCTTTGCAAATGGCATCACCACCCAACCAGCCCCCAGGCCAGACCCCTGGGACCCCACCAACTCCTTCCTCTTTCCCACACTTTACACCTCGGCATCACCATCAACTTTGAGTCCATCCCTTCCCTTCCCTCTGCAACTCCCACTTGCAGCCACCACCCCTGCCTGGATTGCTGCACCCCTCTCCTCAGTGCCCCCTCCTGCCAGCGCAGGCATTTTCCCCCTGGAGCCTGACCGTGGGCGGGGACACTGACCTCTAATTCGCTCTAGCCTCTGACTGCATGTGGTGTTTCCTTCAGGGGTGGATGTGGGCAATGAATCCCAGTGGCACGGACAGTGCGGGGACTGCCCCGCGGAAATCTCTCCACAGCTGCTGCAGGCGGCTGTGAGTTGTTATCTATGCTCATCACCCCCGGGAAAGGGGGTCGTTTAGACCCACCGCCAGATCTAATTTCTCACGTGTGAATCAAGAGCAGACATCAGTCTGTCACAAAGGTACTTGCGTGTTCTGTTTCGATAGCTGTAAAAATAACCTCTGTATTTTTATCACTCTTTTATTCTCATGTATTTTATTTGTTGCATTTAAGAACATTTTCTGAGCAGGTGCCCATGGGCTTCACCAGATGTCAAAGGGGTCCACGGCAAAAAAACATGAGAAGCCCTCACTCTCCACAGCACAGCCAGCATGACCTTCTGAAAACCTCGGTCAGGTTATTCTGGGTTTCAGGCTGACAGAGCCTTCCTTCCCATTGACCCCAACCCCAAACACCCAGGATCCTACCTGGAATGGACTCCTTCCTGCCACCAACTTTGTTGGTGGCCAAACCATACTCCTCCTGTAGGCCCAGCCTCATGGTCATTTCCTCCTGGAAGGGCCTCCGCAGCTCTGGTTTGTTCCTCAGTGATCCCCAGTGTCTGTTACTTCTTGAGCTCTCTGTGACCCCCCCCCCGGCCTGTGAGCTGCACAGTCACCTATATTTTCCCTGTGTGTCCCAGCACCCAGGACACAGCAGCACACGGCAGGTGCTCAGGAAACACCCACTGGAGGGATTAACCCACTCACATCAGCATGGGGGCAGAGGCATGGACTGGCCGTGCACTCTACCCTGTGTGCAGACCGAGTCCAGAGGCTGCTGAATAGCCCTTTGTGAGGGCAGATCCGGCCAAGCGAGCCTCCCAGGGCCCACTCTACCATCTCAGGCCAGAGCCATACCCCCTCTTAACCCCAGCTTTTAGAATCTCTATCCAAGCAATGGTAATTGCTGCCTATAAACAGTAGGAAGACTCTTCAGGGAATCTGAGAGTTAACAAGGAAAATCAAATCATGATGGGTGGATGGGCAGGCACACGGGACATGCGAGACAAGGAGCCGGTGGCCGCTGTCATCATTGCCGTGTGTCGAGACAGCACCAACAGGAGGGAGGGCAGAGCTACTGTGCACGCCGGCCCCCATGAGGCCCCCATCTAGCCCTACGCTCAGCCCCTGCCAGGAGCTTCCTCCCAGCAGATCTACCTTCTGACTACAGTTGGGTTCCCTACCCTGACCTGGCTTTCCAGCAGGGAAGGGGCAACTGAGAGACCTACAGGAGCATGGATGGTCCCTGGGACTCAGTGCACGAGGCTGGAGAGGTGGGTCAGCACCCCGCACCTGTCCCCTGAGTGTCCGCCAGATGCCCAGGGCCCACCTGGCCACCTGCTGCTGATAGGGTGGAGCCCCAGGGAGACTCTGCCAACTCACCCAGACCGTGCCATCCCCTCTGTAAACAAAGACGACGTCCTCATCTCACGAAGCTTTGTGAGGACTAAATTTCCACACGTGTGATGGAATGATGTTTGCAAAAACAGTAAAATGTTGGTTTTCTCACTGCCAGTAAATCATATTCTCCCGCAGCCCCCTAGTGGAGTCAAGGGGGCAGGTGCACACCCGCTAAGGCACAGACATCCTCGCCCAGCTTTGAGGGTCAAACTAAATTTTTTAGTCCACAGTGAGACAATAGCCCTAAAAGCCAGTTTTTCTTACAAGAGAAAGTGGTTTTTGTCTCCAAAGTATCACTCTATCTCTCACGAACAAAGCCGGGCCAATTTGGCTCAGGGAGTTGGACTGCAAGTCGGGTGCAGAAATGAAGAAGGCGGGACACCAGGAGGTGCGGCTGCAGCTGGGGGGGCCGGGGGGAGGAAAGGGGAGAGAGAGGCTGGGTGACGGCTTCGCTTGACTCCCTCCGCCCCGACCCTCAGGTCATGCCTTGAGTACAGGGTGCAGAGAAGGTACAGAACAGATACTCGAGAAGGAGACGACAGCAGAGAGAGCTTGAATCTGCTGTCTGGGACATGGGAGGGGACGGGTTCACCTCACGGGGTCGCTTCAGGGAGCTGAAATGGACACACGGGATGCTTTGGCAGTGAGAAGTCTGAGAGGGTAGGATGCTGGGGGCTGGCTTGCAGGGTTACCTGGGGCGGGCGGCACTGTGGGGCTTCAGAGAGAGCCCAGGGGTTGGTGGCCTGCAGGAGAGGAGAGCAGACTTCCTTGCATGGCCACAGCAGAGAGAACAAACCCCAACCGACCCCAACTACAGGACCTCAGCCTGGAGGGTCACTGCCCAGGGCAGAGCATGCTGGGACAGATGCATGCAGATGCAGGGCACCTGAGCCATGCACACACCCCTGCTCCGAGGGAGGAGGGATAGGGACAAACAGTCTTGTTATTGCCTGAATTGTGTCCCCCACATTCATGTGTTGAAGCCCTAACCCCCAACATGACAGTATGTGGAGATGGGGCCTTTGGGAGGACTAGATGAGGTCATGAGGGTGGGGCCCCCATGACGGGATTAGTGCCCTCATAGGAAGAGGCACCAGAGGGCTTGCTCTCTCTCTCATTCCCTCTCATTCTCTCTCTCTCTCTGTCAATGTGAGGACAGGGCCAGAAGGCAGCCATCTGCAAGCCAGGAAGAAAGCCTTCACCAGCAACCAAACTGGCTGGCACCTGGATCTTGGAGTTCTCACCTCCAGATCCGTGGGAAATAAATGTGTGTTGTTTAAGCCGCTAGCCTGCAGTATTTTGTTGAGCGGCCCAAGCTAAGACAAGCCCAGAGCTGGAGCTTAACCTCTGACCTGACTATTCCCCCTGAAGGAAGAGCCTGAGCCACGCCTCACGGGCCAGGTTATGTTTCCCCTTCTATCCTGGGATATAAGAACTAAAGAAAGCTGTGTTTCTCCCCAGGGTTGAGTTTTGGTGTATAAATGTCCATCCTGCCACACATAACCCCCTAGCCCAGCGAAGGGCCCCGCATGGGTTCTCAATGGGACTTCTCAAACTGAGTGCCCCCACCCCGGGCCTCTCATAGAGCCCACCACCCCCAGGGGCTAGAATCGCCTGGCCTGGCCTCTCCTTCTCCACGGCCCACGTCCGTGGAGAGAGCAGCAGAGAGCCATGAGCGCACTGCACACCAGCCACCATGTTAGCACTCCGGATTCAGCAGGGAACCAGCACAGAGCTGGCCCTCTGTCAGGAGGTGGAGAGGGACATTTGGAAGTAACAAAACCAGCTCCACGATCATGTCATGAGGGCTGCAAGGGAAAGGCAGGGAACCCAGAGGGCGTATTAATGGTGAATCTGCCCTGGGGGGGAATGGGGAGCCTCCTAAGGATGTGGCATTTTGTCTCAGAGCTGAGAAATGAGAACGAGTTAGCTCAGCAAAGCCAGGATGGTGCTCCTGATAGAGGGAACAGTGTGTGCAAACGTCCTGGGGTCAGGATCCCAGGAAGGAGGTGGGAGAAGACTCCTGAGGTCAGACCACATCCGTATTCAGGTCGGAGGAAGGCTTCCAACTCCACTCAAAGAGCAATGGATAATATGGGGCCAGGAAGGGGAACACTGCATCTTAAAAAGATTACTCTGGCTCCTTTACAGAAGGTAGATTGAAGTTTCTACTGCAGCAGTTGAGATGTGGGAGTGTGGGGCTCAGACTCAGAGGTGAGTGGAGAAAAGGGACAGATGTGAGGAGTGATGTCGATTGGAATGGGGGTACCTCCTACATAACCCTGGGACACCCAGGGCCCACTCAGCCCGTCCCTCACTGGCAAATGGAGGCAGTCCATGTTTGCTCTGCATGGAGTTGGGGAGGGAGAAATGTCCTGGGGTCGTCTCTCAGAGCCTCCCCAGAAAATGAGGGGCTCCGGGGCCCTTCAACAGCCTGGAGTGTAGTGCACCCTGAAGCCCATGCTCTGACTGCACTTTTCAGGGCTGGCCTGGGGTCCACCTCCAGAGGACCTGTCCCCAGTGCATGCCGTGAGGCCCTGAGCCTGTGGTCACAATCCCTCTGAGGACAGGAAACCCACCTTATTATCCCAAAGGGTGTGGGGGCTGAGTTCACAGAATTCTCTCATTTTATGCTCCCAACAGCTCTTTGAGGCCACGAGGAGGGGTGGTCAGTCCCACCGAGTGATGAGGAAGCTGAGGGTGGCCCCACAGGGAGGAGGGAGACATGGGGCTGGCCATCTTCCCAGTTCCCAGCCCACACCCTGCCTGTCAGGGCCCAGGACCCTCCTGTTCTCCTGGCCCCCCAACTGCGGACGAGAGCGGCCGCTCTCATCTCGGGCAGGGGGTCCTGTGTCCTTCTTGGACACTGGGAGGTTCTGACCCTGACTCCTGATTTGAGACAGGAGGTGACCAGAACCCCAGGAACCCCACCACCCAGTGCAAAGCCTTGTGAGGCAGACGGGCCCCATCCTGCTGGGGGTGGGGGTGAGGCCGCCAAAGCCTGGGGCGCTAGGCCACTGAGTGAGGGTGCGAGCTGGGGAGGCTCTGTCTTTGGAACTGCCCACCAGCTGCCAGCTCCCGTCAGCTGGGCTCAGTGCCTGACTCTGGCCTCAGAGAGCGACTGGGCCTCCTGGGCTGCTGAGAGCCAGCCAGGGCACGTCCGGAGTGCGCCTAGCAGATGGCCAGCGGG